TGGAAAAGAAACCAACATTCAAGGTCAAAAGCTTTCATATACCAATTATGCGTCCAGTAGATATCTTTGTAATAGCACTATACTTGAGGCCAAGAAATCTTACGAAAGGAAGGTATCATTAGAGGCTTTGACTAACTGGAAGTCGTTTAGGAAATATGTCAAATCTAAATTAAAACGTACTAGTGTTGGAAACATAATGAAGTCTGATGGGTCTTTATCTAAAAATGACAATGAAAAAGTAGATGTACTTAATACGTTCTTGAGTAGTGTATTTACGCGTACAGAGGATTTAAACGCACAACCAAATGCGAAAGAGATGAAAGACGTAATTTTAGATATTTCAGTTACTGTTGATGATGTTTTAAAAAAGTTGAACAGTTTACACGTAGATAGGTCAGCAGGGCCCGATAATCTTCACCTCAAAGTATTATATGAACTTAGACAATCTATAAGTTATCCATTAAGTATACGTTTTAATAAATCCTAATCACATGCATCAGAAGATGTTTTACCAGAAGAATGGAAGAATGCAACACTTCCGCCTATTTTTAAAAATAAAGGTGACAAAAAACAGCCATGTGACTACCGTCCAGTAAGTTTAACATGTGTTATTTGTAAAGTGTGTGAATCACTAATTAGAGACAAATTAATGAAGCATGTATTAGAGAATAATATGTTGTCCGATTGTCAGTATGGTTTTAGACCTTGACGTTCCTGTTCAATACAACTACTTGAGGTACTTGATCATTGGTTATCTTTGTTAGATACTTTCTGTTCAGTGAATACAATTTATTTAGATTTTAGTAGTGCTTTTGACACTGTGCCTCATGAGCGTCTTATTGGTAAAATCTACAATCTAGGAATTCAAGGAAAAGTTTTGGATTGGATAAAATGTTTTTTAACAAATAGATCCCAGCGGGTTAGACTTAATAATACGTACTCATCTAGAGCTGGAGTGATCAGTGGAGTACCCCAGGGCAGTGTGCTGGGGCCCGTACTATTTTTGGCGTTCATAAAAGATATGCCAGATGCAGTTGCTGGACTGGTTAAAGTTTTTGCAAATGACACAAAGATTTATTCGTCCGTAGTTAATGAGCAACAACACCAGGAATTGCAAGCTGATTTAAATGGATTATGTGATTGGTCTAGAAAATGGAAATTATCATTTAATGCAAGTAAATGTTAAGTAATGCACTTTTGTTAAAATAATATCTTGTCTAGATACACAATGTTAGACAATGAAGATAATTATGTCCAGGTTAATCCTGTTACTGAAGAAAAGGAGTAACATTTGAGCCTAACCTTAAGTCTGACTAACATATTACTAAATGTGTGAACAAAGCTCAGAGAGTCTTGGCATTATTCCGTATTTCTTTTGACTATTTGGAAAAAGATATGTTTGTTACTTTATATAAATCGATAATACGTCCGTTGTTGGAATATTCCACTACAGCATGTACAGTGTGGTCACCATATTTAAAGAAAGATATAACGAAAAATTGAAAAGATACAGCGCCGTGCTTCCAAACTGGTACCTAGTATAAGACATTTAAGTTATGTAGAAAGATTGAAAACCTTAGGCCTACCAAAACTTGAGTATAAAAGAGATCGTTATGATATGTTACAAGTGTATATAGCGTTACACCGTTTAGATGATACTAAATGGCAAAATATTTTTGAGTTGTCTACAAATTCTACTGGAGGTCATCCTTGGAAATTAATTAAGAAGAGGTGTAATTCAACTCAATGTCTTCATACTTTTTCACAAAGGATCATTGATCAATAGAATAATCTGTCAACTAAATCAGTTACTGCAAAATCTATCAATATATTTAAAAATCGTATTAACGTGGAACACTGGAATGGAAAGAAGTTTAATCCTACATATATGAAAGATGATAAATAGTATTTATTTTAACTTTTAACGTGAATCCGTAATTGATACAATGTAAATACCATCGTTTACCAGAATGGGAAAATAAATTATCCTTACTAAGCGCACAGCTCACAGTTTAATAGTATAAATTAATTATAAAGTTTAATTACGAGGCGGCTAAAGATATTTTCAACTTGAAGATCGCCACAGTAATCCAGGTAAAATCCAGGGAGTAAACATACATTGTTCAAACATGGTATACACCAGGACATGTTCGTATGTCTTTCCCATGACAGAAACCGCACAGTTTATGTTAAATTTATTTTCACTTCCATAGATTCCCGCCGATTAAAAGATGAATATATTAAATATACACCTGTCTCTTACTAAAGACTGTTAATTGCCCTCGAGATTCAAATAGTTTGTCATTAGGTACTGTAGCATATATATATATAAAAGACAACCACTCATTTTCCTTTATTCAATTGAGGTTGCACGAAAATTGTATATTATAAAAAATATTTTTCTCATATTGAAAAAAACATCACATCCGTTTTCGTTTGCGTCCATTAGTTTCTTTACTTTGAAAAATATGACCAAAATGTTATGATTTCGTTTTTCATATAAAAACCTGATATCTGAACGAGAGTCGGGTCATCTTTTATCATTTCTCCGTTTGTTTTTCGTTAAGTCGTTGAATGCAAAACACTGAAGGTTGTGAGACGTATTGTGTTTTTTACGTAAACGTGTTACACTAGCTGACGACGACAAGATGCTGTTTTTTTTAACGAAAACTATTTATAATAGAATCATTTCTTCGTTTGTCTCTAGATAATAACGGTATCTTTTAAATCATACCGAGTCAAATATTTTAATTATGTCTCATTTGACTTTTTCTAGCATTTGTTTTGCAACTGTTGTTTGTGTATCCCTTTTGGTATATTCCGCCTCTCGTTCAATTGCAGAATTTGTCCAGTAAAAGAAGGTATATATCTCCAGGGCACAAAATAGGTGTTTAAGGTAAAAAATAATATACATGTAAAAATAAGAAACGTCGTTGTGCAATAGAGTTCTTGAAAATACATTATATACCATTATAAATTGTAACAATTTTACAAAGATAGGTTTTTTTAAAATAATTTTCTGTTTTCAGTGAAAGTTTAGTATATAATGTTTATACAGCTACACAATACAGATATACCCACAGGAACTTATTCAATTTCTGATTTAGTATGTACGACGATATCGGACAAATTGCATGGTTGTAGGGGCGGGAAAAAGTATGTTCCTTTTATGTAATCTATTTATCCTACATGTTTTAACCTGATTTATCACAGCAGCAGTGCATACAAGTTGAACTTATACACCTGTCATTATGGGATGAAAAGAGGAATGTGTTTTTTATCTATTTTTCCGAACTTGTAAATATTTCATAAAAGGTGCTTATTTCATCGTATAGTTTTCTTCCCATGTCCTTGAACCTTCTTTAAATATTACACTAAATTTGTGTTGTGTACCAGCAATTACGTAATATGATGTGAGAAATTAATTTTTTTCTTTTTTTTTCAGATTTGAGCTGAAAGTAATAATCAGTAAAATTTACAGAATAAAATGTATTCCGTGCATTCCGGTCGTTTGAGACTTTTATCCATTTTTAGCTCACCGGGGCCCGAAGGGCCCCATGTGAGCTAATGCCATCACTTGGCGTCCGTCGTCGTCCGTCGTCTGTCGTTGTCTGTCGTCGTAAACTATTTCAAAAATCTTCTCCTCTGAAACTACTAAGCCAAATACCTTCAAACTTAAACTAAATGTTTCTTAGGGTATCTAGGTTATAAATTGTATCCGAAGTTTTGATCCATCGACAAACATGGCCGCCATGGCTAAAAATAGAACATAGGGGTCAAATGCAGTTTTTGGCTTATATCTCAAAAACTAAAGCTTTTAGAGCAAATCTTACATGGGGTAAAATTGTTCAATTGGTCAAAATATATCAGCTCTGAAATTTTCTGACGAATCGAACAACCCATTGTTGGGTTGCTGCCAATGAATTGGTAGTTTTAACAAAATTTTGCAGTTTTTTGTTATTATTTTGAATCTTATTATAGATATATATAAACTGTAAGCAGCAAAATGTTCAGCAAAGTCAGATCTACAAAAAAGTTAATAAGACCATATTTGTCAATTGACCCCTTAAGGAGTTATTGCCCTTTAAAGACAATTTTACACAATTTGTTCATCAAGTTTGCTAACATTCAAAAATCTTCTCCTCTGAAACTACTGGGCCAATTACCTTCAAACTTTAACTTAATGTTCCTTAGGGTATCTTATTTATAAATTGTATCCGAAGTTTGTATCCATCGACAAACATGGCCGCCATGGCTAAAAATAGAACATAAGGGTCAAATACAGTTTTTGGCTTATATCTCAAAAACTAAAGCTTTTAGAGCAAATCTGACATGGGGTAAAATTGTTCAATTGGTCAAGATCTATCAGCTCTGAAATATTCAGACGAATCGAACAACTCATTGTTGGGTTGCTGCCACCGAATTGGTAGTTTTAACAAAATTTTGCAGTTTTGTGTTATTATTTTGAATATTATTATAGATATATATAAACTGTAAGCAGCAATAATGTTCAGCAAAGTAAGATCTACAAAAAAGTTAATATGACCAAAATTGTCAATTGACCCTTAAGGAGTTTTTGCCCTTTAAAGACAATTTTACACAATTTGTTCATCAAGTTTGCTAACATTTAAAAATCTTCTCCTCTTAAATACAGGTGAGCGATTCAGGCTCTTGAGAGCCTCTTGTTATTTTTTTTTTCTCGTATTAAGATGATATTTCTATTTTGTTTCAGGAAGAAACGAACACAGTCTTGTTAGCTCCATATGGAATTAGATCTCAGTATTAATAAATTTCTTAAAATATCAACAGGGTTAGTCATATACATTTACATGTTATTGGTTTTTAGTATGGTAGCGTATAATTTTTCAATATTTGAACCTTCATTAATAAGGATCATCGGAAAATTAAGTTATTTCTAGTTGTTGACAAGTTGATTTTCTACCCTGTTTTTTTTTAATTAATATTGATATCATACCCGTTACAACTAATAAACAGCACCCATCCACACTTTCACCTTTTTTTGTTCGGTAAAGCCCAGCATCTGTTGTGTTCACACTAATAACAGTTATATTTATTGTGCTTTCATCTGTTGTTATGTTATCAAAATTGTATTTATTATCTTTACGATTATAAAGTATATTGTCAAATTGTGATTGATACACTACTTTATTGTTGTTGTCCATAACAACAAAGTCATCGTTTTTGGTGAAACCGGTCCTCCATGTTAAAACAACATTTTCGTGAATTTCAGCAGTCACTGTGGTGGTGTCTGAAAATATAAATCCAATTTCTATCACAACCTTTTGGAAACGAAAGAAGGTGACAATTATATACTAATTACTCGATGTACTTCGGGTTAAAGTCACCAAATTGAAACCCATCACCTTTGTACTGATTTATCTTTATATAACATGTTCCAAACCATGTATCAATCATCTACCGTTATTGGAAATTTGGCGATCATTCATGACACATAAGTTAAGAAATTCCTTCTCAAGGGACCCAAATGTATTTTCCGTCTAAAATCAATTTGCAGGTCTGCTGGAATACAATATTTAACCATATTTCAAATTATTGTGGTTCAAGCAATAATTTGCCGCTGAACATGAACACACTTACATTAAGTCATTATTATTGAATGGCAAACATAAGAAATAGTAGGAAGATAAATATGCACACAGAGACTGACAACAGCTAACTGCAACTTGAATAAAATATAAACTACTAGTAATTGAATTGAAAAATAAATATGCTTAAGACCCATCTGATAGGGAGATAAACAATGATAAGTTTGTTTGTCATAGTTATCATATCGATGTTTAACGTGTAGATATTTCAATTCTAAACTTTTATTTCAACAGATAAAGACTTACACGTAATCTACATAGTAGAAAATAACCATCCTCAATCGTCAGTAAACCCACAGTGTCGCGTCTAGAGCTTTCTACTATCTACATAAATTACACAAAAATCTTTATAAATCCTGTGTTTTATGAGCTTCTAGTAAATGTACTCCTACTAAATTATGTTTTTCTTCAGAGTTCATTAAATCTCATGAGAAACTTGTAAGAACAGTTCCTTACATCATCTTTTTTTTCTTGAAATGCAATATTCAACGAGAAGCTGGTGCTTTCCGTGGGTACATTCCTTTAGCCATGGACACATTTCGATCAGTATTTCCAGATCGTGTGCCGTTCTTCCTTTTCAATATAGTAATAACAATGTTGAGATTTTAAGTTTGTGTTTACTTTTAGAAAAGATGTGTTTTGTATGCAGAAGGGGTGTTTGTTTGCTCATTAAATATGCTTAACCCTACCAAAATAGTGCCTGTATCATGAATCTGAATTTGGTAAAACATGTTGTCAGTCATACTATCCAATATTTCTGGTAAATTCTGGTATCCTTTTCATGCATTATTTGATTATTTTTTTTGTTCTTACATTCTTATCATCGATTAGAAAATAGGCTCGATAACATTTGATTGATAGCTTTGTCATGGATATTTGCTAAACATTTTAGAAATCCATTTGGAAGTATTGGCATTTTCAGTAATGCAAATTTATCCAATTACAAATTATAAAGGGACAATTGCTAAAAAGTTATACACATATATCATATTTTGATTTGTTTTAAGCAATTATAAAAGCGAAATACTGAAATAATAGTTCGCTATTAGCATGCAGTAAGTTTGCTTCAATTTTGTCCAAATAAGCTCATAAACATCACTGATGTATTGTTGGCTTGCAAGTCGTTAAAACAATATCAACCTTCAATTCAACTCTTACTTGCAGATGGGTTGCGCACAAATAGAACAGAATGCCAACATTGAAGTGAAACAAGGGAGCCACCATGACGAACAATTTAATTGACTGATTCGGCACACAAAAAGTTTTCATTCTTAAGCAGGTAAAGCGACAATTTACACATTTAAAAAACTATGATATATCAAACAGACCTACAAAATATGTCATTATATGATTGTACGTGCTTGTCCGTCTATTTATATAGCTTTTGTTAATATTGGGTAAATGTTTTTTGCATTGTTTGGACCTCATCTCAGTGCATTGTTAAGTATATGGTGTCTGGTCTGAAATATACACGAAATGCTAATACATGATAACACGTCCATGCATTTTTAGTTGTTTATGTTTGACTTTTTATAATTTGGATATACGCTTTAGTATGTTATACATCAAATAGGATAATTTGAGTCAAATCGTGGACATTCAAATTTGACAGCTAATGCAGTACTTTCCACTTGTAACAACAAAGGTAAAACATTGTAGCAGCTTCTGTAGAAAATATTCTTTATAATATATATGTAGGACTCTAAAGTGCGATGGTACTCTAAAGTGCGATGGTCACGCTAAAGTGTGATGGTCTACGCTAAAGTACGATGGTGAATCAAGCTAAAGTGCGATGGTTGTTTGTTTGCTAAAGTACGATGGTATGTCACGCTAAAGTGCGATAGATCAATAGGATAAGGTTCGAGGGCTTAAAACGTTAAATTACATGGATGTTAAAAAATAGTCTTTTTTCAAAAGCTAGTATGCTCAGGTATAACATATGTGACAGGCTTTAATTTATAATTAACCGGTAGTCTTAAGTGATTGTTTCTAAATTTAGAAGACCGACCACGTAATAATTGCTAAAAAGGTAATTTAGGTGTCACAAAATACTATATTTCCTGTAAATGATTTTTTAACAATTCGGGAGTATTAAACATGTTAAATACTTGAATAATTGGTGTAGGTTGCCGTTCACACAGTCTATCAATAATCTGAACACCTCCCCTTACAGTCGTCTTTGTAAATTACAAATACAAAATTCGATCATTGTCGGAATATCAGTAACATTTATTTGTATAAGCTTTAATTTAAATGCGAGCGAAAGGCGAAATTCGCCGAGCTTTCTCCCTTTTCATAGCGAGTACACATACATGTTTTATTTTCCTACAATGTACAAACTATGTTTTAGCCGACTGTTTATAATTTACGCTTGAAAACATGTACCTTTATTTTACCAATGTTACTTTTCAATAAAATTGACAATATTTTAACGGGGATCGCAATGTAAACTGCAACGTAAACAATGATTTAATCGAATGTATTCGTTCGCTCCCAATAGAAGCAGGATACAAGATACATTACCTATGCGTATACTATTTTGTATCTATATAGTAAAATGGTCAACTGCAGGACACAAGTCCTTCTTCCAGCACCCGAAAAAAACAACACACATTTGCTTCAGCCGACAAAGCACAGTTAGGTTTGAAATAAAGTCATGGACATTTGGTTTAAAAGTTGTTAATCAAATATTCTTAATTTATCTTCCGGCATGTACATTTTTGGTTTGTATAAACGACTGTTAACGTCATAATCCAACTACGTTTCTTACGTCTATACTTTCGCGGACCATCGGACTTTAGCGTATGGAGGCATCACACTTTAGCGCAGACCATCGCACTTTAGCGTGACCATCGTACTTTAGCGTCCCCATCGCACTTTAGAGTCTTACATATATAAGTGAAAATCCTAACAGTCCATATTGATTGATAATGACCAGTCAAATATGGCACATATTGTAACTTTGATAAAAATTAATAATATAAAACAGGTTGGTCAAGGACTCCAATTGCCTGTTCATACCTGCTCAGAATGTTTCGTAAACAACGCATGAACATAATAAATATGTCGGACACCGGGGAATATAATTCACCTCTAAAATTAGAGATGTTCAACTTCAGATGTTAAAGCTTTTCTAACTCTAAAACCTGAAAATAAATGCAATTCAAGGGTGTATAAATGATTCTTAATACTGTTAAGAGCTTAATGATCAAAAGGGGGGAAATGGCGAAATAGAACTTGGGGGTCAACTTTGCTTGAGGAAAATATAACCATAGTTTCTAATATATTTCTAAATTTATCAACAGAAATTACCTCTAGGGTTAACTGCGGTATATGTTATGAAAGGATTTAGGACGTTATTAGAAATAATTAAAAATTGAAATAAAATAGATCTTAGTAAAACAAAAAAAAAATATATTTCAAGTTTATTAAGATAGTCAAATGTAAAAAGAGAATGTAGGTGCAATATAATTCGTTGATATAAGAAAATACAATAAGAAGAAAACACATAATTGAAATAGAAGGATTTATGACGTTATTAGAAATAATTAGAAATTGAAATAAAATAGATCTTAGTAAAACAAAAACAAAATATATTTCTAGTTTATTAAGATAGTCAAAAGTAAAAAGGGAATGTAGGTGCAATATAATTAGTTGATATAAGAAAATACAATAAGAAGAAAACGAAGAAAACACATAACTGAAATAGACATGGTTCGTAAGAATAACAAGCATTCTCTTCGGTACAAGACAATTAACAATAGTACAAAGTCAAGAACCTTATTGAATTAGTTATTTAGCACGCGTACGGAAGGTTAGAGGTTGCAGGACAGATGTATGGGGAATTGCTATTACATCCAAGGTTATAACCATATTCACAAAGTTATGAATAAGCTTCGGACTCATGAATATACATTTATACTTAAGCCACACAATAATGTTGTTAATGACTAATCAAAAAGCTGAGATACAATGATTGATGTATAATTGAATGAATAAAATAGCAATTATAAATGAATACATTTTGAATATCTTTTATTATAAAGATCGGAAGTTCAAATTCTTTTCAAAATATAATCTTATTTAATTTTAGGACTAATTATCTAAATGCTTTTCAAATATAAATAAATACATTTTGCATATTATGAAGCAATAAATACTTTGGCAACACGTTCCATCGTTAGCAAATGAACTTCAATTTCGGCTGGGAAACGAGAATATCGGGTATTCAATGGTGACTATAAAAACAAATATAAGTCTACTGCCCGTTATCCGTGTTCCTACCAGCAAATTGAGTTGTCTTATTTATTTCATTAAAAAGCTAAGTTAGATTTATTTAATGTTTAGGTGCATACATTTTAATTATTAAAATAAGGAAATTAATTGTAAATTAATAAGACAGAAAATATTTATTTTTTATTATATAATTAAATTAATATAAATATATATATATTCAGATATAATATTATAGTAAATGCGTTTCATGAGGTTATTCACTCCATGTATAATAGATAGGATGGACTTAACAAGATTAAAAGCAGGTGCTTCTTGCGTATTGCAGTGATGCATATAAATATCCTAGGTAATTAGTATACCGTTCACAAGTTAATTTAAGCAATAATTGAAACAGAAATACATGTGT